ACCGTGAGAGCCTGGCTGGATTCTCTCAGTTAGCAGGTGTTGGAAGCCTGCAGGGATCTGCAGGTTAATTAATACTGACTTACCAGGGTTGGGGAGCTTATTAGCCTCCACCCTAAAAATGAGGAAGACAGGAGGAGCCCTCTGGGTGGAAGGCAGGTAATGTTTGTGGGGAGAGAGGAGGCAGGCTGAGGCAGAGCCAACACTGGGGAAGAGGCTTTAGGTGGGGCTTATGAATTCGGTTTTTATCCCTTCTCTTTCAATAAAAGCGAAGTTGAGAGTAAGTGTATTTTTACACTTTAAAACAAGCCTCTAATTTGTTGATGGTTAGCAGGAGCTCTGGTAGCTGCTGTGCAGAAGCCAAATGAAATTTCCCCCCTCTGTAGCCCTTAAGAGCCAAGCAAGTACTTTGGTGTTGCTCACCTTTGCTGTCTCTGGCCTTAAATGAGGAATTTTTAAGTCCCATAAGGGTGTGGGGGGATATATTTGACTTGCTGTGAGAGACCATATGCTTGACTTGCCAGCATCGCTGTGCTCACCTGCCTGCATGTGACATTGCTTTCCAGTCAAATCCAAAATGTCAGGGAAAGCACTGCTGGCCAAAGCCCCGTTGACTGTGGACAAGAGAAGGTGTAATGGGAACAACACAGGAGGTGGATGGATCAACTGATTAGCATAGCTACAGCCCCCAGCATCTCTGCAGTTGTTTATAGTTCAAACAACCGGCTGATGGCACCCACTTGCACCTTCTTGCTCAATGATGTCTCTATCTCCTTCCCCGTCCTCCTCCTTGCCTTTGAGGTGTTGACACGCTGACAAACTCGGGCCTGGCCTCCCCCGGGAGCAGGGCGAGGTTTTCCAGCAGCGCCGGGCCGTGCATCCCACCTTCCGTGCTCTGCTCCTGCCTGCAGCATCCTCGCGCGTCGCCCCAGGCGTCTGCGGCAGCTCCGCGTGGGAGATGTCCCTCCACCGCCACGGCGGTGTCTGCCGAACTGCAGGTCTGATGCCCCGATAGGTATCAGTGAGGCAGAGGGACACGGAGCTCCCTGGAATGAGAGTGAACAAGAATAGGCAGAAAACAGAGAGGCTTGGTATGGAGGGAAGTGAGAAATGGGGAGTAATCAATTACTTCAGGGGACCTCTGAGAAAGAGGTTAGAAGGGTGACAGGCATAAAACTGATGCCTGTAGATTACTTTTGTCATCTGCTGGGCATGTGAAAGCCTTTTTCTCCTCCAGTATGTCTCATCCACGGTGAGTTCTCAAAGCTAACCTGTGTCAAAATAAGCCCCTGATAATGGCAACAATTGCCTTTGAAAAAGTTTAAAAGAGAAAAACAATACACATTTTTATTTGGGGTGGCGGCAGTGCTGGTATTCCGGAGAGTACTACTAGGCTCCAGGGTATCACCAGTCCCACTTCTCAAGAGAAAAAAATTGCGTTTCATTTCACGTGAGAAATAAGAATGAGCTCGTTCCCATTTCACAGGGTTTGCTGGGATGCCCCTTTACCTCCTCCAGCATCTGCAACCAAGATCTAAAAATCACAGAAGCGATGAGGGTGGTGCACACCGCCCAAGGATAATTCCCAAATTCCTGCCCCCCACACACGTACATCCCACTGAAAGCTGTTGCCTGCAGAGGTTCAATCTCGGGCCACCTAGTGGCACTTCACAGAAATCGGTATTACAGGCAGCTTCAGGATGGGAAGTCCCCAAAAAAGGCAGGAGATTGAGGAGGCGATTCAGCGGCAGCTTAGAGGTACGCTTTGCCGAATTGCCGAATTGCACCGAGAGCCCTTTTTGTGCCGGCTGGGCCATCCTTTGGGATGGACCAAATGCTGAGCATCTCAGCAGGAGGCAGCAGGGCTGCAAAGCCATGCAGCCCCCTGTGCTCAGACCTGGCTTGCCTTGGTTTCCTTTGCACTTTGGTTTCCTAAAAGCACTCGTGTTGCAAGTGCCTTGGGTGAACAGAAAGCCCTCCCTCCTACGTAGAGGATGTTCGGGGGAATGTGGAGGGGCCTTCGTGAGGCTCTGAACAAAGGACTGGGGGGAAGGTTTATTGTCCAGAAGTAGGGAAAGGGGAGAGTATGTCTGGTGCCATATCCCTGCAGGCAGTGCTGGGGGGGAAGTAGAAATCCGTGAAAAGGAAGTCCAGGCAGCCCCAGGGCATTTCCTAGAGTCATAAAGTGCTGTGGAATGGACATCTGAGTCTGGAAGTAGCCAGCTTGCATTAGTAAGTTCTGAAAATGTGAAGCAAAATTCAAGTAATCAGTCTGACTGCTAGTCTTTGCATCATGTCATCATGCTCGACTAGTTCTTTTTTTCTTCTGCTTTCTTGAGAGGGAAACTCAAATCTGCAAAAATCATAATCAGCAGGCCCCCCAAAAGGCAGGTCTTTAAATTTCTTTTAAATTCCATAGCTAGGAAGTTTAAGTGCTGCAAATACTTGTTTTGCATGAGAAGATGCTAAGAATCTCCCAAAGTCATTGCTTGCCAGAGCTAGGAGTTAATAAGGACAGCAAATGTCAAAGGTTTAAAGTAAAATCATGGATAATCACAGTATTAATACAGGTAACTGTATTTTGAATTAATTTCAGTCTTCTCAAAGCCAAAGTTTTCTTTTTTCTTTTCTTTCTTTTGATTGTGTGTTTCATTGTTATTGTCTCTGCAGAACTTAACCCAAAATATCAAAAAGCTAACCAAGACTTAGGTTTAAAGGAAAAATACATAATATGTAGATGCAAGGGTATGGCAAGAATGCAATGATTTGACATATCAATCATTTCTATGGCAACAGAGGAGGATATAACAATACTATATAACTGAGCAGAAGAGACTGGGCAAAAAAGAGATCATTATTTTACACTACCAGTATTTTAATTTATGTGGAGAAATAGAAACACAGAATGCAGAAAACCATATGGGAAATATCCCAAATTATTATTTATAATTCCATATTAACAGTTTACAGAAGCAAAAAATATATTGTATGAAACGAGTGTGTTCCTGTTCTTCCAGGGAGTGTTTGTAAATCTATATGACTGTAAACAAAGGATGTGTTTTGTGAGAGTGTATGTAATACTCTTGGAGTGTGTGATTGCATGTACAGACACAGTGACTGTACTTTAAATATCCACAAAGCTTTTGCCTTTCTGTACCTTTCAGATGAAAATCATAATTTTTAACACAAAGAGTGATAATTTAAATATTTTTCTCATAAATGTATTTATTTCTTCTCCTTTTAGTCACCATGGGTGGGATTTAGCTTGCCTAAATTATAGTGCCTGAATGTGAGATACAGCTTAAACTCCAGTGGTAGAAAAGGAAGACCAAGCCCATACACTTGGTCCAGACTAGCAAGCTACTTTCTTCCAGAGGTTGGTCACAACATTTGGTCAGCCAAATTGTTCTCCAGACTCAACTAACTATATGATCTAGATCCTTACTGCCTGTACCAAGAGCTTAGACACCTTGCTCTCAGGCAGACACTTGGGCTTTAAACACCTGAAGTGCGTAAAGCTGCCTGCCCATTAATGTCTGACGCCTTTTCAGACTCTTCTGGGTTGTTGTGAAATCCCCGTGGAGCTGGTGCCAGACCTGTGGGAGATTATTG